TATATGATAAAATCATGTGTCATTTTTCTAATGGTTAACTCAAAAAATATTTATAACAAATATACTAATAGTCCTTCAAATTTTCTATAAATAAAGTTTTATCAAATTACATTTAAAACATTAATTGAAAATAGGAAATGGAAATTAATCAAATTAAATGTACAGGAATAATGACTTAATGTACCAGAAATATTTCCTTTCCAAAAGAATTTCCAAATTATGAAAAACTCAATCACAGTTCCAAATGACAAAATTAATAATTATTCAAAAATCAAAATTGTACACGGAATCAGGTAACAATCATATCCCATAATTAACTCCAAAATTAAAAGGAATCAATTGTAAAAGATAAAAAATAAAAGATATAAATTTTTATTCGATCAATAAATAATAAGCATATATCTATCTATAGTATCTATAGTATTATATTAAGAGAGAAATCTGAGAGAAAACAAAAATGGATTTCTTAATGTGCCACCTAGGATAAACTCCTATGTGGCATTTTATAGAAAATGGCAAAAAAAAAAAAAGTTCATGTAATTACACTACAAGTCCTTGATATTTTATAGAAATAAATTTTATCACACTTAATTTATAGTAATGAATGGTTAAAATTATTTAAAACCAATCAAACAATATTAATAAGGAATTAATGTCGTGAATTGAATGATTGGAAATTTGAAGAAACAATATGGAATGCCACCATTTCCGACAAAAAAAAAGAACAAAATTCGTAGATTTGTTCTGAACTAATAAATCAACAATCCACATTAAATAGTAGTAAGAGATGTCGTGAATAGGATGAGAGAAAATTTAAGAAAATAATAGGGGATAATTTTCCACGATTTCCGAAAATAATTATTTCTTATCCAAAAAATGAACATAATCCATAAATTTATTTAAAACCAATCAATCAACATTAATTGTTTCGAATATGATCACGGAATCTGATCTCTTTAGTGTTTTGAATTTTGAATAAAATTTTGATATGGAAAGTTTTTAATGAATTTATCTTTTTCAAAAATGTCACATTAATCCCTTGAAAACTGCACGTCGAAAGGAGTATATATGTATTTGAAGTGGTCATAAGAAAAGTTTATTCATGCATTACTGTTGTCGATTTCTTATACTTTTTCAAATTTATGTATTTGCTAACCATTTTTTCTTTCAATATTTGTTAACAGGAGGCAATGTTTACAGCTTCATTATCTACCATCGCGAAAACACATAACACACGAGGTATAATTTTTAGCATTCAATCTTATGCTTTTGATTTTCATAAATTTAAGAAGGTTAACAAAATTTTATTTTCTAGGGAAACAAATCAACGGCCAAATCAGACGTTTAAAATCTGTTTTTTGTTCCGTGCAATGAGTCTAATTTTTCACTGAAGATTTTTTATAGTGATGATTTTATGGTAGTGACCAATTAACTAGGTAAATCGTGAAACAATGATTGTTTCCATAAATCAGGTAGTAATGATATATTATTGATCGTAAATTTCTGTTTGTTATGAATTAAGGCAATGAATAGATGAAGAACTGATGGCCACAACAAATTCATGGCGGACTATGACAATATGTTGGGACAAAATATAAACGATAAATTATATACATACATACATATATGTACATACATATTCTTATAAATTTTTGGACATGGATTTCTCTAGTAGGGTAGTTAAATCTACTGTTGGAACAAAAGCTTTCTGACTTGAAAAATAGTGACCTGCAAGGTATGTGAGTTAATAAGCATGTTTAATTTTCTGAAGGTGATTTTGTCATATTTTATTAAAATTCATGGATTCGCACTTTGTAGGTAATAGATGAGATTTATTGTTGGATTATAAATGGAGGGGTTGAAGATTCAGGTTCATTTTTTTTTTATATCCGCATTTATTTACTATAAGATAGGGCTTTAAAGCAGTTTTAATATAAATTTTTTTTTAAAAGAAAAGGGAAATTTGTGCCTGTTATTTTTGTTTGAATTTCAATGATCTAAAATTCTTGAATGATAATAAAAAGAATTATAATTTTTTTAATGATAAGTCATTCTGGACAAAAATCATGTCTCCATCTTATATTTGCATTAAGAGCTTTATTTATTTTTACTGCAATATTTTTTTAATGAGATGATGATCTAATTCATACTGTATTTACTTATATAAAATTTATTATTGCAATTCAATAATTTTATTTACATTGAAAACATTTAAAATTTGACATATTTTTTTAAATACATATGAATAAATCCCGCACATCGTGCGTGTTTAACAACTAATATATATGTATATACTCCATTTAGCCAAAATCATTATACAGTTTAGATTTTCATCTTTGGTACGTATAAATCATACTAAAATAACATCTAAATGGACAATATTTTTAGACAAAAGAAGTAAAGAAGACATTTTTCGGAAAGCAGTAAAAAGCATATTAAACTACCGAATAAGACCAAGTTAATTATTTACAACTCATCCCAAAACTGAGTACAAAACTCAAATTTACCCTTTAAAACCTATATATATTCCTTTACTAGCATTTTCATTTTGAGACAACACTTCATTCATTCTCCAAACTCACTCTTGTCGTATAGTTTTCCCTTCAAACAGTTTCCTGTTAAGATGCGATGTAATGAGCAACATTTTAATTAGTTTATCTCGAAATTTAAACTCATGGGGCAAGAAAATCGGATCTTAACATATACTTAAATGGTCTTTCTCCGTTACATTTCATTTATGATAGACCTGTCAACTTACAATCCGGTTGATCAAGACTTGGTTTTGTATCTAACTGACTAACTCGGTAAATTTCAACTTTGGAAGTTTCTTGATTTGAGCTGGAGCTCATTGCAAAATGATGACTAAGTCACAAGTCGACACATAAATAATTGGAATTTGTTTGGACTACGATTTAGTTTTTTGGTTTGTTTTACATTTATAAAAATAGTTCCAAAAAAGGTATTTAGAACGAGAGTTAAAATATTACATAAAATAATTTTATGAATAGTAATTTTTAGAATAAATAATAGTCCCCCGTAGTAGTCAATATCAGTTTGGACATAAGTTGGCTTCGAAGTGAGCGAAGTGTGTACTACAAATAGCAATTAGGGACGACCCTGTAAATTGGAACTTTATCATTTTTTTGCAGCCTTCCTCAGTGCAACTCCAATCTATATTTATTTCAACTTTGAAAAAGAAAAAAGAAATAAAAGAACAAACTTATATTTACGAGGACCACTAGCAATATAGACGCAGAAAATGTTGTGAAACATCACATGATTTTTTCTTTTTATTAACAGAGATTAGCAATAATAATAATGCATTGCTGCTAAATAACACTACTTCCTCTGTCCGAGAAAAAATAATCCACCTTAATTTTTTAATTTAATATGTTTTTAATATAAATTTTAAAATTCACTAGAAACTAACTTTTTGAACACTACTTTTTATTGATGTACTCGTTCAGATTTGAGCCCATCGATACAGGATTGTCAAAAACGTAGTCGGACGGCAAGTTAATGGGAAATGGATTTAAAAGGGAAGAATAGTAACGAGTCCACTTGTGTGTGCTTATTGCTCCGTAAGTAGATCCAATTTTGTTCATTGCTAAAGCTATCAAAGAAATGTTCCAGGCTACTTATATCACTCTTCTTCTTCTTCTTCTTCTATTTCTCTCTCTTTTTTTCTTCTTTTTTTCCTTTTGTCATCATTTAGAACCTCAAAGAGGAGATGGTCCAGATGAAGGCGTGAAATTAGATGGAGTTATGGGCATGTGAGTCAGATCATCCAACAAGACAAACCAAAAATTATTACAATATATTCAATCACATTTTGATAAAAGTGACAAAAGAAAAAAGGCAGATGAACCTTCATTTTATTCCAAATAAAACAACTTTACGAAGGAAAATCAGATGGAACCAACACAATTTGACATAAGCTACCGGCACGCAGTCCATTTGCACAGAGACCCTTATTGCAGCGCTGCAGCAGCTGCCGGCCATCTCCATTATTATTATTATTGCACACATATAATCAGATGGTACTTCCTCCGTCCCATAATTATTGTCTAGTTTGGGTTTTCAAGTTCAAATTGTACTAAAAGTGAAATCTCAAACTGGATAATAATTTTGGGACAGAAGGAGTACAAAAAACGAAAAAAATCAAAAAGAAAAAAAAAAGACGAGAAAATGTACGACAGAAACAAAGACTCCATATATACTATATTGTGGATTTGATGGTGGCTGAATGAATTATTATTAAACACCTATTTCTTGTTGAGGCAAAGCAATTTGAGACTTGGGAAAGTTGCGCTCTGATCACTTGTGTTCGAGGAAATTCTTAAGCCACATTGCAGAGAGTTTGAGTTGCCTTTTTGTATCATTCTTGTAGTCAACGTAGATGAGCCCGAATCGAGCATGGAAACCATTGTTCCACTCGAAGTTATCCAGCAATGACCACAAAGTATCCTTTCACACTCACTCCTTTCCAGCAATTCATAAATAATCCAAAAAAATCACATTTAAGTGTTGATAATAATCATTGATTCACCACACCTCAACTATCTCTTGGAAGCAAAACGGTTAATTAATTAGTTAATAAATTATTTTTTGAACATAAATAAGAAAACATAAATGAATGGAAATCAATTTTTTTTTATATAGTTATAATGACCGTATCTTTACCAATGAGAACATGGCAAATAATATTAAGATTCTAAGTATACCTTGCAAGGTGTACCCAGACAATGCGTGAATCACACACTGGGGGGATGAAACTGAAATATATGAGTCCGGAAAAAAAGAATCCACTCGCTCATTTATTTTGCAAATCACCAGATTAATTACGTGATCACCAAATCGTGATATTCGCATTTTGATTTAAATTTTAAACGGTTAATTTTTGTTTCCATTATCCTTAATTTACGCCATTTTCATACTTTTACAATTATGAGTAACGTTTTGGTACATTCCGTATTCTCTTCATTCTGAAAAATTTCATGATGGAAGGTGTAGATTTAAATATTTCAATATATAATAATTCTGGTGATGATCGTTCAGATTATAATGAAGAAGTTGTTGCGCGTGATGTTGAGGAAGATGTTGCAGCGGCAGAATTATCGTTAAATTCACATGTGGTAGAAGAAATCGATGATGTTGATCATGTTTCCTCAGCAATTGTTGTTAGTCATGATAGTTCATTGGTTGGAATCGATGATCGTGTCCCTGAATCTTTGGAAGGTAATATGATCTGGTTGATTATATGTTATTGTATTTATAATTTATGTTGATGTCATTGATAATGCATATTTAATTACAACTGATGAATGTTCGTTCAAAAGTTACGAGTAATGTATGATTAAGGTGAAAAGAGTTCGACTTCTGTGGCCCACGGATGGTGTGTTGTTGGTTATGATTTACTGATGATTTTGAAGCAGTTGTTGATGCATAATGAGTGGTTACTGATTAATATCAATAGTAAAGATTTAAGAGGTGATTTGTTTTTAGTTTTTACAATTTAATGATGGATGAATTTTATATGGATGTTTCTCAAAAAAAATTTTATACGGATGAATGTTGGTTCAAAAGTTACAAATAACGTATGATTTATGATGAAAAGAGTTCGACTTCTGTGGCCCACTGATGGTACAATATTGGTTATGATTTACTGATGATTTTTCAAGCAGTTGTTGATGCATAATGTGTTGTTATTGATGAATATGTTATCAATGTTGTTTTTTAGCCGATGATTTTTTATGTTACGTAATGGATATAAAATATATTAGTGATGAATAATTTATTTTATTATGTTCATCAGATGATGTGCTTATTGGTTGTTGCTTTAACTCTGTGGAGAAGGCTTTTGATGCTTATAATTCTTATGCAAAACGCATCGGGTTTTTAGTAAAAAAGTTCAAAGACAGAAAAAGGCCCAAAACTGGTGAAGTCTACTGGAAACAGCTTGCATGTAGCAGATAAGGTTTTAAAAGTTCAAAAGGTAGGTGCTATACCAAGATGGATACGCGTGTTGGTTGTGAAGCGATGGTACAGTTGATGATTGATCACGAAGGTATATGGAAGGTGGTGAAGCATGTTGTTGATCATTGTCATGATCTTGTTCCTTTAAGACAGAGGCATTTGATTCGGTCTCAAAGAGTAGTTCCAACGAATGATGTGATGCTTTTGTCTAATTTGAAGGATAGTGGTATTGGGCTTACTAATGGTTTCGGGTTTTTGAGGAATCAAGTATATGGTGTTCCTAACCTAGGCTACACTGTAACAGATGCTAGGAATAAGGTTGCAGCTCATGAACGTGCTAAATGGGAAGGTGGTGATGCAAACAAGCTGTTGGATTTATTGAAGGAAAGGAAGGAGACAGAACAAGGTTTTTTTTACAACTATCTCAATGATGATGAATGTAGGCTTTGTTATATTTTTTGGAGGGATTCGCGTATGAAAAGAGATTATGATGTCTTTGGTGATTTGGTAGTTCATGACACCACACACAGGACAACTAGATACAAACTTGTTTGTGCACCATTTACAGGAATGAATCACCATACACAAAACATAATGTTTGGTGTAGGTTTTTTGTTACATGAGGATACCCCGTCATTTAAATGGCTTTTTGATGAATTCTTGAAGTCTATGGGTGGGAAAGAATCCACAACCATCATATAATATACGGTCTGTAAAAGTTGTCGGGTCTGGTTCCACGCCTTTTTTTTTCATCCTCCCACCAACCAGATAGTTCAACAGTTTATTTGCTGGTGGACCTCTTTTGCCTATAGCTAAACCAAATGTTATTCTCATTTCATCAACCAGCCTTGTGTACTCTTCACTCCCTTTTTCTTCAACGTAGTCTACCACTTCATACCGACCTCGTGGTAAGCCCAGTACGACCTCCACATCTGCCTCATCTATTGTCAGCTGTTGGTTTCTTTGAATTATCATCCATGAAAATTGGGGGCTGTTTAATTACGGTGATAAAAACATAACATTAATAATAATGGTTGATGCCTTTCAACTCATGAATATACATAAACGAAGTGATGAATAATAATGTAATATTGTTGAGTAATATATTACTCACTCGTAGTTGTCCAGAAGGTATTTGCACAAATCTAGGTCATCAAACCTCTCAAATTTGATATCCAGAAGGTGCCCAAATCCGATTTCTCGGACAACTTTTTTTGTATGTCATCCATTTTTGCAACAAAATCGCATACAGCATGAGGTGAAACTCTATTTAGGAATGGGTTATCTTCATCTTGCCTGCTTTTCCTCTTTTTAGGCTGGCCCTTCTGTGCGGTTTTGGCTTTTGGGGTACCTTTCGGTCCTCTGAAAAAAAATATGTATAAACCCCTCAATATACGTTATATAATTTATGTCAGATTGAAAAATTAATGCATAAAGTATCACAAATAATGCATACTGATGTATAACATTTGAATATTGACATTGTCACTTATCCATAAAGATATATTACCTTTGTGCTTTAGTACGTTTCCCAGATTCTTTTTCTGTTCGTTGTGAAACTTCTTTTTCCTGTTGTCCAGGTGTTTTGCCCGTTTGTTGGACTCTTTTCCTTTTAGGATTGCTTTTGTCACTGGTTCACGAATAACACTCGCATGATTATCTGTATCGATTTGAAAATGAGGCATAACAAATTATTACTAATGATGAATGATGAATGGTAACAAATAAGTATTACCTTTTTTCAACACCGGATAGACTCCTGGTCCGCTTAGTTCCCTGTCCCTCTATTTGTATTATTACATCCACCGATTCTATACGTATTTTATCTTCAGATATCCTGCTTTGTTGGGGAGCTTTATCAGGTTTTGTTTTTTCGTTGCTGCATGACGGTTAGTTTCGGTTAAGCATTATATTCCAACATTTATTGTTAGTTTGAATTTCAATGGCAATGAATGAATAAGTATATCCGATGAATATATGGGATTAGATGATGTATAATATATTATCACATGATTTACGTTTTTGAAAAAATGAACAACAAATACACGATGAATAATGATGTTGACATGATGAATTTTGACACTGATATAATGAATACTATTAGTATCGTTTAACATTTTATCAAATTAACCATAAAACACTGGAAAAGTTAAATCATTGATGAAGTATCGTACTAAAAAAGATGAATAATTATACAAAACTGATGAATAATGAATAAATCTCATAATCTTACAAGAATCATCACATTGTCGATGAACTATATGAGATTGACAGGAGTTTAATGATGATTAGTGATATCCTTTTGATGAATAATTATAACAGTTCATCAAATCTACTAGAAAAGGCTAAACATGGCTATAAAAAGTAATGAATAAACATGTTTATTGACGAATAATGAACTGTAAACTGATGAATAATACATAAATCTATCAATCTTTACCAAAAATCAACCACAAATAGATGAACAAAACTATTAAATTAATGAACAACATCAGTAATCGAATGAATTATCTTAAATCTACATAAACCATCAGATCTATTAACAGTTCAACAGCAGTGTTACCTCACAAATGCATCAGAATCCGAATCAGAATAAATGATATTTGATTTCTGCATAAAAGTTTCAGATAAAAAATCAATATTCAAATCTCATAAATTAAAAAACAAACAAAACTGATGAAAACCCGCAGGATTTAATCGTAGCTTACCCGGATTTTCATTTCCTAGCAACCACCATTGGTTTGTTGATACCCTCTGGTTCTTTATCGTAAGTTCCGCCGCTGAAGTTTATGTTTTTGTATCGCCGGAGGAGTGAATTTTTAGTTTTTTTCGGATGTTTTGGTTTGAGACGGAATGGATTGAAATGAATAGGAAGTTGAGTTTGGGTAATGGCCGGAATTTAGGAGCTAATGGCGGTTATCGATTTTTGAAATAAAAAAATTTGCGGATTGTAGGGGTTTTTAATACGCGCGTGTAATTCATTCAATGGCATAAATTGTAAATAGTTCAACTTGCCATCATTCCGGGCACGTTTCTTACATTCCTATATTATAATTGATGGGAACATCCACACCGTTCTCTATGCATGACTCTGCAAAAATAACCAAACAGTAAATAGTCATATTTATTGTAAATTTAGCTTTGATGTAAATTTAGCTTTGATTTAATGTCACAAAGATGTTGCTCACAAGCTTCTACAAAACACACATTGACTTAATATATAAGTAGAATATATATACTAACCGTAATACTTGAGTTGTTGATCTGTGACATAATTTCTACCAATCCTTTTGAGTTTCCCCTTTGGTTCCGAATGACCAACATATCGAGTAGTGTAGTAGATCACACCAATGAAGTCATAGCTTCCTTGAATGGCTTTCCTATCGGCATCATCCATTTTTGGGAGATGGTCTGGGTTCACATATTCCCTCGTACTCTTGGGATAATCGCCATGAACCAACGGATCCAGGTACCTGAAGATAATTAAATAGGCAAATTACAATTATTAATTATTATTAACATACTACTAATTTAGTCTTCATTTCTTTGAAAATTACAGAAAAAAGGACATAAACCCTTCGTCATTAACATATGGCGAAGAAATATAAAATGGCATAAGTTTTCATAAAATAGTTCATATGTTATAATTTGTCAATTGTACTAAAAATAATACAATATTCACATATTGCAATAGGGATTATTTTTCTGGTATGTGTTTGACCCCAAAAATATGTATTTTTGGCCACAAAAAGAGTTGATTTTGGCTGGGATTGAGAAAGATTTCCCACATGATTGATGCGATAATAATTGATTAATTTTCTACTTCATTAAGGATTCCACTTTGAGCAAGGATTTAAGGGATTAATCTGGACTTAATTGGATATTGTTTTGGTATCCTATTTTGATTAGGATTTGTTGGACAGAATTCACGTGAAAGACAACTTGACAGGAGTTATGGTTTTGATCAAATAATGCTTCTCTTGTGCGGCCAAATTCTTATCTTTTAGGAATTAAGTTGGAAGCAAATTTGGTCTACTTTTTGCCCAAGAAAGTCACGGCCACTTTTTCCTATTTAAGCAGCAGCGCACAATAACACAACACCTCTCAACATCGATCATCATCGACTATAATTTTTATTCCTTTATTGTTTTTACTTTCATGTACTTTTATCATGTTTTTCTAGTGTAGCCTAGATTAAATAGTTTTTGGCCTATTTTCCTTCATAGAAATAGGTAGCCATTTATTGTTTTCTACTTCAGTGAATTCGAGTCCTCCTTATAATAGCGCATTATCGACGTTCTCCATAGCTAGTCGACGCTATCTATTTCTTTTTCTCCCTACTCTAATAAATTGAAGGCCACCACTCTTTGGCTTGTCTCACTTCTTTCTATATCTTTTTCTCTTTATTATTAAACCGAAGTGAATCCTAAGTTCTCGATTCTAGGCCCGAGGCCGGTCTTAGAACACATCTACAATCGCTTGGTTTTGTATGTTTTAGGAGATTTTTACCCTTGTTTCTTTCCCACAGTTGAAGGTGATTTTTTCGGCACATGGCACACCTGGTGGGACAAGCTTTGGTTTGATTCCCAGATCGTGGTAGTTTTTTCCTTCTAAAAATCTCTATTTTTAAAGTCTCTCTTTCTTTTCTAAAAAAAAATAAAAAAAATTCTTCTTTTCGTTTTTTATTATGGGATCCGATCTTAGTAGCCCTAGGGATCCGATATATACTTCTTTTCCATATAATAGGTCGCCTAGTGATCCCCAATCTCCATATTCTTATAGTCCATCACCACTTAGTGGGCATATCTCTCAACAACCCGCAATTCCACATGTAGGACATAATTCTTTGGGTGCTGAAAATAATATCGGATGGCAGACTACCCTTGATGGCCGCTTTCCTCAATCTTATGGTCAACATGGCGCGAAACAGCAATCTAGTTGCATTGACGGATGGCGTGACGGGTCTATGGTGCAAGATCCCTCAAGATTTGTGGGGCTGCCCGTTGTTGGTAATTCAAATGCTACACATGATTTTTACAATATGCTGATTAGTGAAAACATGGTGCAACAGATACAGGCGCAGCAAATGCAGGTTTTCTCGCCGCAACAACAGCAAGTTCAGGAGCAGGCGTAGCCGCAGGTTCTGTCACCACAACATCAGCAATTGCAGATCCAGGCACTTCAGCAACAACAGGTGTCGCTGGTGCAACATCAGTAAGTTCTGTTGCAGGCGCAACCACAACAAGTTTTGTCGCCTCAGCATCAGCAAGTTTTGTTGTAGGCGCAACCACGGCAGGTTCAAGAGCAAATGCAGGCACTGCAGCCGCAGCTTTTGTCACTAAAACATCTCCAAGTTCGAATACAGCCGCTGCATCAGCAGTTTTCTTCGCCACAATATCAGCGAGTTCTACCGCCGATGCATCAACAACAAATGCTGTCGATGCAACATCAGCGAGCAGAATCATCGACGCAACAACATGAGGGTTCGTCGGCACAATATCATGAGCAAGTATTACTGCAGGTATAGAATTTGTAGGTGGTACAACAAACTCAGCAGACGCAAGAAATAAGTGAAAGTTCAGTTGCAACAGCAGATCGGTTGCAAGAAAATTCTGTGACAGATTTATCATCGACACCCGGAGGGCTAGCTAGTGATTTTGATGCTGAATGTGGCATGCTTAGGAAAAGCCTGCAGGAAGAGTCTGAGCACCCCCAACAAGCGTTTGTCATTGCAAATGAACAGGTGTTGCAGCCATTAAATACAGTTTCGGTGAGTGAATCATTGCCGATTATTGAAACTATAGTTGCTACTGAGCATGGTGTGCACACTGATTCGATTTGCTTGCCTAATGAACCTGTTATTGGTGAAAACGAGTCTGTCAAAGTTGATTGTAGGAAATCTTGTGAGTCTTCGAGCAGCGACAGTGATATCGAGGAGATTATTTGTGACAGCTGCGACAATGTTTCACCTTCAACTGATAATTCTGTTTGTCCAAGCGTCGACGAAATTAAGGGCGAGCAGGAACAAGGCCAAGTAGCAACACCGGATGCCAATTTATCTGTGGCAGCTGAACCGGCACAATGCGTAGTTGCTAATGTTCCAAAAAAAGCAGCAGCAGACCAACAGGTTGCAGTTTCTAATGATGGCTTCCAAGATCGGAGGTGCAACAATAATGCCGAATTGGTCAATAATGCAACAGATTTCTTCCCGGTTAAGCAGAAGTTTAATCATGTCTGGCTTTATGACAAGAGACATTCTGCCAATAGAAGAAGCAAGCAGAATAAAGGGACGTCAATACCGCATGGTTTTCACTTTGCAGAAAGGGTCGATGATGGTCCTCGATTACGTGGCATTGATTTTGATGGTGGCGACAGTTGTTATGCTTATTTGGATTATGGTGCTGCTATAGAATGGAGGATTGATTTGGCTAAAGATCGTGAGTTGCTGAAATCCTTGATTGGCCAAGAAAAGAAGTGTTCTGCAAGAGATCAGTCGAAGATGCTTACACCTTCCGTTATACGGCCTAGCAGAATCAAGGCATTTGGGGCCTAGGTTGTCATTGCTAAGTTTAGTAGTGATTCGGCTAAGATCAATAATGATGTGATTATTCAGGATGCAGCTGACCAAGAGAAAGAATCTGGTGTTGTAGGGTCAGTTCCAACAAGCTCATAAAGTTCATCTCGGCAATATTGTTAACCATACTTGGCGACGACGCAGTTTGAGAAGTTCCGGCACAGCAGGTGATTATCAAAGGGGACATCCAACATCTCGGGCAAGCATGCTCCTTGTCTTAATTATGTTCCTCATTTTGCATGGGTGCTGTATTACTTTGTTGTTCTAGCATGTTGGCATTATGTCGATGTTAGTGCCATGCCGAATGCATATTTCTGGTGATATTGTGCTTATCAACGCTCACATCTCATACCATTCCAATTGAGCGTTTAGGGGGGTTATGTTTGACCCCAAAAATATGTATTTTTAGCCCCAGAAGGAATTGGAGTTTGGCTGGGATTGAGAAAGATTTCCCACATGATTGATGCGATAATAATTGATTAATTTTCTATTGACAAGCCGTCGTTACACTAGTCAAATAATAATTACCTACTTAATACAATTACTAGTAGTAAAGTAGCAAGCAGGGTCGATCCCACAGAAAAGGAATACTAATTACCAGGTATAAATTACTCCTATTATTATCTAGATAAATGAGGATCTCAGATTTATAAAATTTAAAACTAAAATAAATAAATAAAATAAAAGCAAATAATATTAATTCGAATAATCAAACAAAGAAAACCTAGGACATTGGGTTCACCTACCGAATATTTGGTTTAGTTCAATTCACAAATATCTGACTTTTAACTTCCATTAATCTCACAACGATTCACCTAATTAAGAAATGTTCACTCTCGTGTTATAATTCTCTTAGTTAGATTAACCCTATGACTACTCTCGTGACTATAGGGATTAACAAAAGCACATTAAGACCATTAAGAATCAAATATTGCAAAGGTTATAATCTTACTGTCGTAGCTTACAACCTAAGTTTATTATTCCTACGAACTAATACTAATCTTCCACTCTCGCTACTTCGATTAATATCTTCAGACATGCAAATAGTGGCCAATTACTTACACGAATTAAAACAAGAATAAAAAATATTAATTAATGGAAAAGTCAAATAATAATAAACCAAATAAACCAAATAAACTCGGTGGCTACACCCAAGCCCTAGATTAAAAGAATTTAGCCACTAAACATTATCAAAAATAATTCAACAATATTTAGGGACATAATAAAAAAGAATAAATTAATTAATTAAAACTCCAAAACCCGAATAAAGCTAGAACAGCCGAAAAGCTCCCCGGATTTGCTAGCTTCAGATTTTCTTCACAGACAGAGTTGCACTCTCGGCTGCTGCAACTTCATGGTTGCTGCGCGCGTGAATGGAGCAGAGTGGTGATGAAGTTGCCGGTTTGAAGTGGTGGAGAAGGGAAGGTTTTGAGACTTGGCGGAGGTTCGGTGATTTTGGGAGGCTCGGTGGTTTTGGGAGGCGTGGTCAGGAGATTACTGGAGTTGATGTTGCTGTGGCAAGGATGATGGTGTGTGGCAAGGGAGCAAGGTGTGGTCTCGCGGTGAAGAGGCAGAGGTGGTTATGGATGTAAAGTGGCGGTGATGGTGATGATGCTGCCGGTGAAGGATGAGGGAGTTTGGTCTGCAGCAAGGAAGTGGAGGTGATCGGCAAGGAGGAAAGAAGGTGGACGGCGGGGAAAGTGTTTTGCAGCCGTAAGGGTTTCGGCCAGTTTTTGGTTCAGTTCTGTTGTAAAAATAAATCCCTAATCCTCCTTTTATAGGCTTCCGGCTAAACCTTACTTCTTGAAGAGCAAGAAAACTTGTTTCCCAAATAATATCAGGATTAAAATTCTTATCCAATTCCAATCCGAAATCAGCCGCACCATCATCGCCTTCGGCCAATTTCCAAGAACTAAGAATAAAATTCTAAAATTGCATCATCAGCCCTCCAATTCTCTAAATTTATTAATTTCTTCCCCATCAATTGCTCCAATCTTCAATTCTTTCCCATTGAGTTGCTTTTAATTCGATTTTAGCTCAAAACTTCAAAAATTCTTCATTTGAGTACAATTCCTACAATTAAAGATAAAATCACATAAATAGCATATTTGTACTCAAAATATATTGCAAAAATCACAAATTAGGGATATAATAAATAGGTAAAATATAAGCATATCATCTACTTCATCAAGGATTCCACTTTGAGCAAGGTTTTAAGGGATTAACCTGGACTTAATTGGATATTGTATTGGTGTCCAATTTTGATTAGGATTTGTTGGACAGAATTCACGTGAAAGACAACTTGACAGGAGATATGGTTTTGATCAAATAATGCTTCTCTTGTGTAGTCGAATTCTTATCTTTTAGGAATTGAGTTGGAAGCAAATTTGGTCTACTTTTTGCCCAAGAAAGTCACGGCCACTTTTTCCTATTTAAGCAGCAGCGCGCAACAACACAACACCTCTCAACATCGATCATCATCGACTATCATTTTTATTCCTTTATCGTCTTTTCTTTCATGTGCTTTTATCATATTTTTCTAGTGTAGCCTAGATTAAATAGTTTTTAGCTTATTTTCCTTCATAGAAATAGGTAGTCATTTATCGTTTTCTACTTCAATAAATTCGATTCCTCCTTATAATAGCGCATTATCGACGTTCCCCATAGCTAGTCGATGCTATCTATTTCTTTTTCTCCCCATTCTAATGAATTGACGGCCACCACTCTTTGGCTTGTCTCACTTCTTTCTATATCTTTTTCTCTTTATTATTAAACCGAAGTGAACCCTAAGTCCTCGATTCTAGGTCCGAGGCCAGTTTTAGAACACATCCACAATCACTTGGTTTTGTATGTTTTAGGAGATTTTTACCTTTCTTTCTTTCCCACGGTTGAAGTTGATTTTTTCGCAAACAGTATGGATAGAGTAATACTTACCATCCAATGAAGAAATCAATGACGCGTAAAGCAACAGCCTTATCCTTTTCATCATTGGGACTGCGAGGCTGAAACCACATAGACACCAATGTAATTCCGATTTTCTTCTTCTTGGCATGATCCTGGTATTTCTTCTTGAATACTTCCACAACCTTGGCATGGGCAAGAAGTAGGTTATGTGTGACAATATATGGATATGCAAAAGGATCAATGTACTCAGCTTCAGATGCCCAAGATGTTCTCGGTTTGAAAACCATCACTTTGTTCCGAGTTTGTTTTCGATGAACTGTTGAACGAGAAGGATAAAAGAAGGATCCTCCATCATCCTCTTCTTCTTCCTCCTCTTCCGCCTCCTCATTTGTACCGGCACTAGCAGATACTTCAGTCGCGGCTGAAGTAGCTGCTGGTGTTGGTGCTCCTTCCGTGTTTGTGCCAGTTGCAAAGATATGGTCCTTCACGGTTTCTAAACCAGGAGCGTGGACTTTGTCGACATGAGCCGAATAGGCATATGTGAATGGTTCATTCAATGTTATCCAATGATCAACATATTGACCAAACTCCTGGAAGCAAACATCTAAATACACACCAAAATCTTCCCCGAAAATGAATGAGGAAGATTTAGCACCAAAATACTTGGATGTGTCAGATGATCAATTAGTATATACTTTTTCCTTCTAATTCTAATTATAAGGCACAAACTAAAAACTAAAATTAGTTCAAATTTATATCTTATAATTATGACAAGATGGAAATAGTTAACTAGAAGAGATAGAATAAGATACTTACGCAACTCTACGATCCAGAAAGCTGTTGTATTCTTCTTGCAAAGCCAGAGGAAGATCCCAGTGGAAAAGTGTCACATATGGTTCAGTTCCTGTATAGTCAACATGTCGTGGAAAATTATTTTTTTTTTTTAAAAAAAAAGAAAAGTAAAAAGAAGTATGTTATGCATAAATTCTCCATTAATGGAAAATTAAAAATTCAATTACACAATACTTATGATTAAAACACAGTTGTATTCATTACCGTGTTGTCTGAGCCTGAGAATAAGTTTCTTATAATAGTTGATCCCTTCTTGATTCCGAGACTCAAGTTTTTTCCAGCTGAAATTTAAAGTAAAAAAAATTTTATTATTCGAAAAAAAAAGTAAAACAAAGTTTTTAGTGTTAGAGTGAGAACAATTAAAATTCAGGAAATATTCGAAGAAAGAACTAAGAATGCAGAAGAGTTTGTACTTGGAAGAATCCTGGGCCAGGAGATTGAGAATCTGTAAGCGTCAAATCCTATTTCCTTCATAAGCTTCACATCCTCCTGAATAATTTTGATACACAAAACGTGAACCATGTTCCATAAATGTAAATCAACGATTTTTATAATTATTATTTAATTTTGAAATTCTTCATCATTCGTAGTACGTCATGCAATAGGTCTAAACATAAAAATTGCTCTACAAAAATGTATATGTATACCTCAAACTTTTCATAATGATTCACAGCATCTTCGTGATATAGATGAAACAAGTCTGCGCCATATTTTGCAATAAAATTCAGTAAACAATTAATTCCATTTAGAATATAGTATAAGAAAAGAAAAACTTTTATTTTAGTACGGAAAGAATTATATATATAAAGATGCAATATATGTATAAAGAGAGTCTACCATTTCTTTGGCAAAGGTATCCCAAATATCTCCTCTACCGCCATCATCTAGACCACCTTCAATCTGTAAAAGTAAGAGAAAAGTCAAGAAAAGTTCTTACTTAGAAAGATAGTAAGAATGTGTAGTAAAAAAAAAAAAAAAGATGATTCGTGCATGCAGTGAAGATGAACCTGGAAAGTAGCAGTTGCGGAACCAAACACGAAATCTTTGCCGAAATATGAGCGGCGAATGAAGGCTGCAGGAGCGCCAGCTCTGGAGAAGAAGTGGCTGGGAAATGCCATAATGCTATTTAATTAACTAATTAACTAGATATGGAAATTGTTTTACTTGTAGCTTATTATAACTTGCGCTTCAAGTTTGATGATAGAACGATAGAGAGGAGAAGTAGGGTATTTTTTGCATTTGGATCCGTATCCTATTTATAGGGAATGAAGTTTGATGATCAGTTTCATCTTTGAAATTGAATTAGTTTGGCAAAATCATTCAGCCACAACTTCAACGTGCAATTCGTGTATGTTATGATTGAAGGGTGGATTTCTTCATTATTTTAATTTCTGGCTATTACGTGGGCGGTGCAGTGGTTGGTTGAAGAATACTTTAAACAAAAATGACACAAAGAGACGACCGAAAAAACAACTTCGCCTGCATCCTATTTTCCAAAAAGTCCTAAAAAAAAAAATTGCTCCTTATTATTCTTTGTTTTAAGCATGTGAATAATGGCAACGTGTGGAACAGACAAGGAAACCGAATACACACACCAAAAAAAAAACGCTTCAGAAAAATAGTGTAGCTCTTTCTTTTTGCAATAAGTTAATATATATAAAAGGTGTGCTAGCCATGCAATCTATCGATCCAATTGTATCCAAGAAACAGCTACGTCAACGTGCAAAGATTTGTGAGCAATAACCGAATTAACACCCTTTGTTTGTTTGTTTTCTGTATTTCAACGATTTTTTTTTTTACTACAGTTTACCAAACAGATTTGCCTTTTATTTTCACGAACATCGCACAATATAAAATTTACCAAATGCTTATGCATGTAAATGACCACAAAACTTCATTACTCTATAATATACATTACTTCTTCAATATTTATGCAATGCCTTCATCTTTCGTACAAAAGGTGAGAAATTACATCACAACAGGGGGGGAGGGGAAATAATGTGAAAAAAAACAAAAGCCTAACTGGACAAGGTATAAATGTTTTTTTTTTTTTCTGACCACAATCAATCTAGTGGATACCCTCCTCAACTACTAAACATCAAGATATATTGAATGTGACGAAGTCTGGAATTATATCCCCGGTTTTAACAGTGGAACGCCGGCAAGGGTTTCTTGCAAAACAGAGCCTCGGCGGTCTCCCGAGAGTAGACACTCCGATACTTAAGTCAGAAATAAGGTTATGAGAGAATGTGTGTATGAGAATTGGTGCTAGAGATAGCGTCCCTTAATTGTAGTATAACCAACCTTATTTATAGGCATGAAGTTACCTGGGAGATAACCGAGTCCTATTAGGTTTCGTGTAGCTCAAACCGCCTTAACAGAGTCGGTTGGGCTCTTTACTCGGTTGATGGGGCGGTCAAATATTGGTGATGGATATGGACTCGTCAAGTGCCTTTGTCAATTGTTAGTTATATGAAATAAACAATACTTGACACAAAATAAGTCTAACTTGGACCCAGTCCAAGAGAAACGGACAAGTCTCGGCCCATGCTCCGTCGAGCAGGCCAGATGGAATAGCTTGCGGTTAAGATTTGCTCCAAGAAGGTGACCCGCTTCAGAACCCCGCCCAAACTATTAAACCGTGCGCTATTAGTGGGTACGTTCCCCCAAACGGCGGCCAATAGCATCATTATTGCCCCGATTTTTGTTGCAACAGCAGAGATGTGGAGGAACAAGACCACCTTATATACTCTTGGAGAGGAATTTCAGATTTAACATTCCTTTACTTCCAAACTTCAAAATATTAAGAAAGAAGGAGCCATCTTGCTGTTTTTGCGCCTATGCCTGAGTTTTGGCCAGATTTGCTTACAACGACTGTCACCGGAGCCCACATCAACATCCTGGGGGAATATAACTCAAAAGGAGAGTGGAAACCTTGTCGAATAGTAAGTCCTCAGACCCAAATATCTCAGTTTTATTTTTATCCTTTTTCTTTTCAAATTTCAGTATACACCAGAGTAGATCTAGATTTATTGCTGCAAGTAGGGAAGTATGGCTAGAAAACCAGATCTGAAAATCGTCGATGATTTTGCTTCCACAATAGATTCTGATGAAAATGTAAAAGGTGTAAAAACGAGATATGACTTGCCCCTAGATCTAGAAGCTAGAGCCCCGCTAGGAACTGAGAGAGCCAATTCTCCTCCTTAAGGAAGAATCACCATATATGACCGCTTTATGCATCTGGGTCTAAGATTTCCCCTTTTCCCTCTGTTCGAGGAGATTGTCCAACACTACCAAATCCCCCTTGCTCGTTTTACACCGAACTTGATAACCTTTGTTCTCGGGTTTGCAAAGATATGCCAACGAGTAAAGGTGAATCCCCAACTAATTTTGTGGAGGTACTTTTTCTAAGTTTTTGTTCCCTCGACATCGTTCCAAGATTGGTATATTGTCAAAAGACGTCTCAGGTCTGGTGTTAAGAAGATGGTCGAGGCGTACGGTGGTTCACCAGAATGGAAGCCAGAATACTTGTTTGTGAAGGCTTCTGAGAAGTATTGCGTTGCATGGAACCATCAAGAAGTAGAAGGTCTCGGGACTATAAAAGATGATTGGACCAAAGAGGATGACGAGAGCATCGAGGAGTTAGACGACGATCTTAAGAAAATCCTAAAGTACTCAAAACTCATTAAATGGAGTGATGTGCAGCACTACATTCCCCCTGTTCCTGTCGAGGAGGAAAAAGATACTAATGTCCTTGTCGAGGAAGAAAAAGGTACTAATCTCTGTGTATTTCCTTTGCTGTTTTTAGGTCATGTCGTCAAACAATGCTGGTTCTTGACTGTATGGTGATGAAGACCCCTTTCCTATTGTGAATTCAGATGAAGAAGAGTCAACCACTGTAGTTGCTGGAGCCAAGAAGAAAAGAAAGAGGCTCGTGAAGGTCTCTGTGAAGGAGAAGAAAAAGAAGGCGGATGTTGTCGCCTCAAAGTCAACGGCTCAAGGAGAGAATATCGTGCCTCCTGCAATGGAGAAGACCAGTGTCCCCCCCCTGCAACCGAAAAGGCCCCACTCCCCAAGTAGAGGTAGACCCAAGCACCAAGGCATCTGCCATGGACAAAGGGAAGGGGCCATCTCGAGGAGGAAGCAACCATTCTGCCGTCCCATGTGTTCGAGGGAGGACCAACTGTGGCATTTCATACTTTTGGCGATCCTCCAACCATTGAATGCCCCTTGCTGGAAGAGTTTGCTGCACAGCTGAAAGCAACCGACAACGTGAGGCTAGTAAGTACTTTATATCACTCGAGAATATGCTTGTAAATATCCTACAGACGAACTTTGCTTCATTCGCTAAATTTTACAGATGAGTGCGGCCTCGATGGTATACTTGATACACTTAAGGAATTTAAAGGAGGAGTTGGTCCAGGCTCGAATCGAGAGAGACCAAGCACTTGTCCAGAAGGCTGCTCTCGAGGAGAGGAATCAGCAGATACAAGCAAAGAGTAGGAGTTAGCCTCTGTGCAGGCTAAATATAATGAGTTGGATGAGAAGCTGAGGGCCTTTGCAGATCTACATATCTCGATAGAGGACCTCCAAAAATGGTGCGGTGCCTTCTGGTTCAGGATGTTATCTTCAGGTGGCATAGCAGCAGCTACCGAGGAGGTTAATTTGGGGGCCACAGAGTATGGAGCTCACAGAGTAACTGTTGTAGGCCCCAAGAGGCTTAACGGAGACAGGCCCATCAAGGCTAAGTGGTTCAAACAGTTTCTGAAAGAGAACCCAAAGAAAACCATGTATGAGGCATTGGTAAAGGTCCTCACGAAGCTCAGTAGCGAGCAACTGCCTTTATGGTTGGCTCTATGCAAAGCCCTCGTTAAGATGGGTACTTCTGAAGATATGGCCATGTTTCCTGGTGATCCCACCATAGTCTTGTCCAAGGGCCCAAGCGATGAGGAGCCAATCCCTGAGGTGCCGGATGAGTATATCGGCATCGAGCTTGAGGAAGAAGATGATAAGGCTTCGAGGGAAGACGTGGCTGATACTGGCAACTCGGGAGTGCAGAAGAACGCCGGAGAGACATCTCCGAGTCATCCCAAGGATGGTTCTGCTGGGCAAGATGCTGTATGAACTTTTCCCTCTGTAATAGCTGCTAGGGACTTGAACAATCACTTTTGTAAACAATTCAAGCTTTTATTTGTCCTTTAAATGAATGTCATGTTGTCTTGCCTTCCAACTCTGGCCTTCCAAGTCTAATTTTGGCCTTTTCATTTTTCCTGAAAACATGATAGTTGGTTGGTTCATTGAATCCATCTTATGATTTTATCGGAGGAACAATAGAGGGAATATCCTCTATACTCGATGATTAGAGATATTATGAGAAGTCGCACAGATGTCCATAGTATCGAGACAGCAGTGAACGTAGAAGCGAACCTTCTCGATGCTATGTGGGCGCCCAACGTGAAAGTCACCGTGTCACCATGATTTCTCGAGAAGCATCAGGTCCTTGCTCGAGTGCAGCACATGATCTCAACAAGAATGCGTTGGTTTATTTCGGTGATAGACATGCTGAAGGAAAGAATTCGCGAAGTCGATCTCCTGATGGGATACATAAGCGGGCTTCAGAACTTACTGTTGGACCACAACGTCAACTTCCCACCTTTCGAGAAGCCCAAAGAGATGGTAGACCCAAGAACCAGGAGCTCTCAAGAGGAACTCCTTTTAAGGGTTCATTTCAGGACGAAAAGATTATAGATCTCAAGGATAAGCTCAACCAGTGCGTAAACCTTCTTAGCCTGCATGGGTTTAAGGGCATTATCCACCTGTCTCCTGACAACCCCAGCATGGAAATCCTTGTAATATCATAGAAAAACATGTATGTTCTCCTTGGAACCTCGCACAATATGTGAAGGCAGCAAATGTATAATTGCTTTATAAAACTCGAGTTTCTTTATTTGTATAGCGTTTTTCAGCAGGATGTTAAGTACACGGCTTTATTGAGGGAACTGGGTACAAGTTCCTCGATACCGCGATCTACGGTGGGTACGAGGGGAATTCCTTGATTTTTGTCCGGATGTTGAATACATGGTTCTGAAAGAGAATGGCCCTAAAGAGGGAGGCCATC